TCTCTGGTTTTGGGATTTTGTGATATGGGCTAATCTTACTGGAGTTAGGTGATATCTCAAAGTAGTTTTGATTTGCATTTCTCTGATGATTAAAGCTCCACGGTCCTTCTGCAGAATCCTCACTGCAGATTGTGATGATTCTCATGATGCCTTTGGTGGGACAGCCTTGTACTTGGCCGTTTGCTTCCTTGTGGTTTTCTCTACTTTTTAAAACACTTATTTTTTATTTTGTATATGTGTCTGATTTTGCTCTCACACTGAGATCCATGATTATAAGAACAGCACATTTATGTCTATACACTGCTCATGAAGTACAGGGAAATAAGGGCTCAATAAATACACCTCGATTTGAATAAAATTTGATGCTGTCAACTCAGAAGCTAGAATGTACAGTGCTTACAGAAAAAGCTTTGAAAACTCAGCCACAGTTTTGTTATCATTGGCTTTTCTAAACAGTTTGTGGAAGGTGCCTTTCTCCTGAGAGTCCCACAGATAGAATCGTGGTCTTCAGAACAGCCTTTTGTATTAAAGAAGTTATTAGTGGCAACATGGTTACATGAAATTTAAGGTAAAAAAGTGTCAGATGGCTAAGAAGTTTTCTATGCTGAGAAAAGCAATTAAACTTGTTTCCTGGGGTGAATGGATCAAAGGCCACAGGTAAGGTGACTGTTTTGTGTCAGTGATGGTTGTCAATTCATCTAATTCCCTACTTGAACTTCAAACGGCATGACACAACCCAGGTGACTTGCTCCCTCCTCTATTCTCAAATGCTTTAAAATTCCTCTGCTACAGCACTGTTCTGTATGAGTTTTTTTTTTTATGAGAAGAAAAACTTACATAATTTCAAACTTACAAAAAGTTATGAGTACAGTAGAATGAACATTTTCCCCTCTGATCTATCATCCTCAAAATGTCTTTAGAGCCCCACCATCCATTTCAGAATGCGACATTGCTTAGAGTTGTCCTGCTTCGCTCCCTCCACCTGAAACAACTTTCCCAGTTTTATTGATTTCTTACCTTGATATCTTTGAAATTTACAGGCCACTTATTTCACAGAATGCCCCACTTTGGGGTTTGTCTAATGTTTTTTCATGATTAGAATTAAAAACTGGGTTTTCCTATGCTTCAGAATCATAAGCTTCACGGACAGGGACAGTTTCTGTCCCTTCTCTTTTTCCAGACTGTGTCTAAGGTTGGTAAGAAGGAACGCACACCAGACTCTCTCAGCGTAAGTGTTCTTCTTGCCATCCTTGAAGTTCCCTGAGATGACTCCCTGTAACACTGTGCCGGACTTGATCCACTTTCTAGGTTTAAAGGCTACGTACCCACACACATATCTATAATATTCCTGTACCTTTCTATTAATAGAACCCTTTTAAATGCTGTTTTACTTCAAACAAAAATTAGTCCAGTTTTTTTTTTTTACAAAAATGTCATATTCCCAGTAAAGTACATAAATATTAAGTGTATGGCTTTTTAATGTTTTTAAAAAATAAATTATCATGCAACTATCCCTTTGCTAAGACATAGAATATTACCAGACCCTAGAAACCTGCTCCTGGCCCTCCCTGTCAATATCTTTAAAGGTAAAACATTTACTGATTTTGAATTTAGCAATTGATGACTTTTTAACTTTATGATATATATTCCTTTGGCTTCTTTCAGATCTAAACAAAACAAGTCTAGTTTATTTCACAATAAAACCCAATGATGGTGACATTTTATGCTGGCGTAACACTTTATAATTACGACATCTCTTTCTACATGTCCCATCGTTTGATTTTCTGTAACCATCCTCTGAGAAAGTCAGGAGAGAGACTTTTACTTCTGTTTTAAACATGAGAATTTGAGGTCTAGAGATGGGAACCTCATGGATCATGAATTTTACAAGTTCAAATTTCATCATAGAGCCTGTCAGAACAATCTTAGCTCTTCTAGAAGTTGTGGAGACCAGACTGAAAATCTGCAAATATCTCCTTTGAAATATTTTGGAAACAGAGGACTACACTTGGACCTAGTTCACACAGAGGGGGGAGGAGGGGCAAGTTTTGCCTCCTAGTTAATGATCAACTTCCACCAAGTACCCTGGGCTCTTCTTTGTGAGTAATATTCCTGGTAGCTCATTCATGGTAGCTCATGCTGTATACCCTTTGATGCTGTCTCAAGTGTTTCACTTGAATTATTACAGACATTTCTTTCAACACATAGTGAGGTAGGTTTTAATTTCTATCATTCCCAAGCCTCAGTGTCCCTAAACGGCGGATACCTCATACCGAGTTGTCCACCCACCGCAGAGAGGGTGCAATGGAACACTTTTCCTTACCTCATTTGTAAATATCACGGGCCCACAACACATCAGTCATTATTTTTAAACATTTTTCTTTCCTACTCTTTAGAACCGTGGAAACACATCAGTCTTGAATGAGTCATCAGGACGGTGAGCGGGTTGCCAACCTTCCTAAGTGGTCCCTGTGAATACTCCTGGCCTCCTCTCTCAGGCTGCCTGAGATCGCACAGGTAAACTTAGAACTTTAAGGTCAGTGCTCTTTTTAAATTGCTCTCTGACCTTGCTCTCACTGAAAACCCAGTTCTAGTGCTCCTTTGTGAGGGACAAGCCTTCATGATGATACCTCCTCCCTCACCCCACAGAGTGTGTCGCTATTCAGAATATTAAAGAACCAAAGGAAATCAATCTGCTCACATTCTATTCCCAGCCTCTAAAGAAGGCAGGTGGTATATTATGTTATGTATGTCCGCCCGGGGTTCTGAGTCCTTTGAAGGTATTTAGTTAGAAGAGAGAAGGCGATATCTGAGAGGACTGTGCTCCTGTTTTCTGGAGTGAACTTTGGCTCCGCTGTTCTATCAGGAAAGCTTAGCAGCACTGTCTTGGGAAGCTGAAAGTTGGGGCGTTTCATTGATCTCTCTATGTGTCTCTGCTGCTAGACATTTCTGGAATATTCAGTACTTAATGAGAGCCTGTGATATTTTCAAAGTAAATGCTGAAGATAGAAAGCATATTTAGGTTAAAACAGCTTTCACTGGTTTAAGCTGCCTTAGAAGTATTCACAAATCATTTATTGAGCACTCTGAAAATTTACTTAAAAATCATTTACTAATTTACTTTAAAATCATTTTAAAAATAGACTTTAATGCATAACGTTGTCTTTCTAGGAGTACAGCTCTGTGAATTTGAACTCATGTATTAGTCGTGTAACCACCGCCACCCTCAGGATACAAAGCTGCACTATATACCCTCCAAATATTTCCCTTTCGCAGTTCCACTCGCCCACTAACCCCAACCCCTGGATCTGCTCTGTCCCCAGCTCTGTCTTTTTGACAGTGTCATTTGAATGGAACCAAGCAGTCAGTATCCTGTTAAGACTGGCTTCTTTAATTCAGCACACAGCCTTTGAGATTCATTGAAGCTGGATCAACAGACAGTATATAAATCTCATTGCTTAGTGTTTCTGAATAGTATTCTATTTTCTGGATGTGTCAGAGTGTTTATTTATTTGTTATCATTTAAGGTTAATTTGAGAGTAGCAGAGAATTAGGTTACGATGTTTGCATTTGTCGGGTAGAGTCCCCCTTGTTATTGTGTCTCACCCCCGCATCAGAGTTTGTTGACCTCTCACTTGTTGAATGACAGTTGAGTTGTTTCCAGCTTTAGGCAATTAATAATAGAGCTACTAAAATCTTTCATCTATACACGTAGCTTTTTGTGTAAACTTAAGTTTTCATTCCTCTTAGGGAAATACCTGGCAGTGACATTATAGGGCTGTATCACAAGGTTTTGTTGACCTTATAACAAACTGCCAAGCCATTTTCCATGTACCATTTCCTAGTCCACCAGGATGAGAGTTCCAGTGGCTTTAACACTTGGTATTATCCATAGACCATATATATTTAATTTTTGTCATTTTGAAAGGTTGGTAGTGGTATCTCCCTGTGGCCTTAATTTACATTTCCCTGATGGCTAACATCCTTGGACATCTTTTCATGTGTTTATTTACCTTTTGCACCTTCTTTTTGATAAAGTATCTCTTTACGACTCAAGCATTTTAAAATCGGGTTGCTTTTAGTGTGGTTCCTTTAACTTTATTCTTCTTTTTCAAAGTGATTTTCAATATTTTGGAGCTTTCTCTTTCCATGTAAACACTAGAGCCAGCTTGTCTGTATCTAAAAGAATCTTGCTGGGGTTTTGATTATAATGAACTAAATCTATTAACATCTAAATCTTTTCGATTCTTGAATATGATACGGCTCTTGCATTATTGCTTAAATTAATAGCTTGTCCCGTGTCCCAGACACAGCTTGTTTGTTCTATCTTACTTAGGTGGGCACAGAATACCTAAGAAGACATACTTAAACCATTTTGCAATTGAGATAAGGGACGAGGAAATTATCTGGATGGTGTCAGGGTGGCATCAGGACTCGAGGAAGGGATTTAGCTGCAAGGTCAGCTCCACACAGGGATAGCCATCTAGGGTTTAGGCCTTGTATCATGGCCAGACTTTCAGTGGGCTGGTCATAGCCAAGGGCATCTGCCAACTATGGCAGGAATATAGCAGATTCAGGGTTGCAGGAGGTTTATACAGCTTGGAGTAAGACTCTTTAGGGAACAAATGTAGGTTCCTGGAAAAGAATATTGATATGCAGCAGGCTGAAGGTTCAAGCATTAACCAGGATGGTAAGCTTCCAGGAGTGGCTGTTACCTGAGTAAGGAGCTATATGTGGGATCAGGAAATTGATGGCCCGGTGATGTGTTGCTGTGTGGAAGGAAGGCTGAGCGAGTGGGGAGTGGTAATCCACAGTGAACACCGCTCTCGGGGAAACAAACCTAGTTTCAGCCTGTCGCTTGCTGGCCAGGGAAGAGAATCCAGTGGTCCAGTGACTTGGAGGTGTGGAAATTCTAAAGCTTATCAAGTTTAGAGAATGCAGACAATAAAAAGTCTCATCTGCAGGGAAGGATGCTAACGGGCTGAGCACATGTTAATCATGGTTAACATTGTCGTTGATTATGTAGAAGTAAGTACCCATTTGGATAGGCCTCACAGCTGAGATACCGTGAGATGAGGGCACTAAATATGAGCTAAGTAACAATAACGCACAGTGGGGAAAATGATCATGTGGTAAATAGACTGGGTGATGGGGAAAGGCTGGCTGGGACTAGCACGTGTATGACGCCTACATTCCAATCATCTGAAGCAAGGACAAGGTCTGTTAGAACCCATCACAGTAATCTCCAGCCAAGCTGTAATTCAGACACTGAGGAAATACATGTTATTAGACAGGTTCCTTTGCTTCCTGACAGTTTCTCCATCTCTGACATAGCACCTCCTCACTATGAGAAACAAGAAGAGAGACTGTATAACTCTTTACAATAATGAAATTGCAATGTTAAATGAACCAGCATTCTCCTAGAGGTTTCAGACCAGCCAGCTTCCTCTCACACAAACCTCAGTCCCTTTTGTCTGTCTAAACCTGCCTGCGCCATCACGTAGCTTCTTAGTCTGCTTTATTCTGATTCATCACAGGGCACAGCCGACCCTGAATTTGTGTTTTGCACACAGGATATCTTTAGAGTAGCTTTGCCTTGGCGACCTGACTCTTTGCGGCCTCTGGCGTAATCCGGTCACTATGGGGAATATCAATTAATGCCTTCAATCACACTAACTGGAAGGTCTTCTGAGTGTTGCCATAGGAATGCAGCAACTTATAAACAGAAAAATTGGGAAAATCTATGGGATGTGTGTGTCTGTGTGTGTGTGTTTAAATAACAAAAAGCAATTTAGGAGGCCAGAATACTTTAGGACAGCTGAGTATTTGGGCTCAAATTACCGTGCCATGAATCTACAATGAAATATCTAGTTGTTCTCTGCTAACAAGGATTAATGCAGAATTATTAATTACTTTTATTAATGACTTGGATGAGGCTACAGGTTACATGCTGATCAAGTTTGTAGATGTCACAAAGCTAGGAGGGCAGCCTCCGGAGCCAGAATGATTTCGGGACAGAATTTAGCAGTGATCCATCCAATACCTGCCTGGCAGAGTAACTTCCATAAGATACAAATGGATGATCATGTTATTTGTTTAATCAGAAAACTTTAGTGATTCTCATTTGCCACTGAAGTTAAATCCCAAGTCTATCGCCTTTATTTAAGGCCATATTTTGATCCTAACACTGTCTGCTTTCCAAAAAAATTCTTCTATAGTTTTTTTTTTTTTAATATCCTGTGCTTAGTCCAAACTGAATTATTTATAGACTATTTCCTATTTATGTCCCATGCTTTAATACCACCGTGGAGTGTTGTTCTCCACTAAGAGTTTCTTTTTTTCACATGTTCTTTCTGCTTCCATTCTAAACATCCAAACCCGTTCAAGAGCCAACTCCGTTCAAGAGCCAACTCTTGTGTTTAGTCTTTTTTTATTGTCTTGACTAAAGTCATCTCTTTCCTTTGATTTTCTTCAGAAACACTGACCTGTTCCTCCCCATTTCTATCACTGCTTACTCCATATTGCAGGAGGTTTGTTTGTTTGTTTGTTTGTTTGTTTGTTTTTTCTGGTACCCATTTTACATTCCTTCTAGACCCTGCATGGAACTTCTGCCTGGGAACTCTCCTTCTCTCCTTTGCATCCATGGATGTGTGTTGTACATGTAGCTGATGACATTCATGTCACTAGTTGATGACATTCATGGGGCTTTCATGGGGTTGATCTCTACTGTGAAAAAATTCCTACAGAGAAGGCCCTTCGTCCTGACCACCAGAGAGACACCTGAGATTATATCATAGTAACTTGTAAACCAAAAATGCTCAATGCATGTTTTATTGAAGAAATGAATGGCTGATGTGGAGATTTCCCTAAATCGACAGTCTGAGAAGTGGGAGTATGTGGTGGTGAGAAGAAAGAAGTATTAAATCATTGAAATGAAACAGCTGCCTGTGATATGGTCAATCACTGCCGGTACATGTACAACTAGGCTAAAGGAGGAAGCATGATATGAACCAGAGATTTCTGGAGATGTCACCTCAAGAGGGGTGGCAGGTGTTGGAAATTTTGCATTGTCCTTTAGGGCAACTACACAGCCTGGGTTGCTTGGGGAGTATCAGTTTATGCCTTTTGTTTCTACGTAACACCCTTTAAAGTGTTGCAGTTAACGTTTTTTTATGATTACGTATCAAACGTCACTTTGGCCTTTTTAGGCTGGTAGTGACTTGTGGTTGTCAAACTGATGTCATGAGCTATTTGAGATAATAGACTCTGTGGTTAGTCTGATGTGGGTATCAATCCCACTTCTGTCACTTACTAGAAATATGACCTGGACAAGTTACCAAGTCCTCGGTTAGCACCTTTAAATGACTATCATGAGGTCTTTCTGAGTCATCTCTAGTTTTCATTATTTATAACTCTACATAGGTTTTACCTGTGGCCATGTATTTTTAGGGCAGTGGGATATAAATACTTTACAGAGTTTTCAAGTCTCTGGGTTTTCTGCATTAAAGATCACACGACCGATCGTAAGGGCCTGGTTCTTGCTAGTTGGCAGTTTCAGTTGATTATCAATAGGAAGGCTAAAGGTCATAGACATTGGACTCCCGCCCCATCATTTGTTTCTTCCAGTGAGAAGAAGCGAGGAAAAGCAGCCGGGAATAGAACGAGGTTTATGTATTTCCCTTTAATATAAATTCTGAGTGGGGTAGATTGCATGCCATGTCTGGATCCAGGATTTCTAGACTTCCTATTCATCAGTAAGAAATAAAAATACCAGAATCATAAAATATTCCCCATTGGAAATAGACCAAGGGGATGCAAAGAAAGGCAAGGAGGTCAAATTTATCTGTCAGATATGTGACTTCTGGTCAAAAAATTCAGACGACTATTTTTTAAGTCAGTGCAGTTATAGTTCAGTGAATACTAAGTAGTTCTGAAGCCAGACAGCGATAGTTTGATCATGGCTCAACCCCTTTGGAGGTAAAGGATCTCGGTTATGTTTATGTTAACTTGTTTAGGTTTTCTTATGTGTAAATAATGTGGGGATTAAACAAACAACAGGAGCAAAACAAAACTTGTCTTCTTGGTTGGTTCCAACAATTGAATTTGTTACTATGGTAAAACTTAGAGAACAGTGCCTACTCTGTAGCCTGCGTGCACACGCTTATTATTGTTCAGCACTTGAGAGTAATAGTGATCTGTCTTCCTTCCCTCTGTATTTATGTTGACAGGATGACACTTCTGTGGTTTCTAATGAGTCTCTACTTCTCTGGGATCCTGCAAAGTGATGCCTCAGGTAAGTGAATGGCTTTTGACTAATTATTAAAATTCAAGCCACGCGTAGGATAACGCGTCCACTCTTTCTGAGAAGGAATTTAAATGAAGATAATGCTATTTATTTTCATTGTCCTCCATCGTAGCAAAGAATCACAGACAGAAAGAATCTGACAGTTTCTCCATCTCTGACTCAGCATCCCGTCACCCTAAGAAACAAGAGTGAAGAGAGTATTACTATTTACAGCAATAAAATTCTAAAGCTGAATGCAAGGCAATGTTAAATGAACCGACATTCTCACTCCTTCCCCCCAAGTAACAGGAGGAATCCATGATGTCTCTAGCCTTCTGGGGACACAGTGCCCTTGGGGAAGTGGCATGATATGGAATCAATTCCATACTCACGTCAGAATACTGCTCCTTTCTCTTACCTCTGATCCTCTGCAAAAAGAACTGGAAGTGATCATAGCACAATCTGTTTTCAGGCTTAAGCCAGTGGAAAGGAAGCCCCCAATGGTAAAAATCTATGAAGACCTTCAAAAGAAAATAATAATGGTATTTTTTTTGAGACAGAACCTCAAGCTGTCCCCCTGGGTAGAGTGCCGTGGCATCACAGCTCACGGCAACCTCCAACTCCTGGGCTCAAGCAAGTCTCCTGCCTTCGCCTCCCAAGTAGCTGGGACTACAGGAGCTGGCCACAACGCCCGGCTATTTTTTGGTTGCAGCCGTCATTGTTGTTTGGCGGGTCCGGGCTGGGGATTCGAACCTGCCACCTTAGGTGTACGTGGCTGGCACCTTAGCTGGTTGAGCTATAGGCGCCGAGCCAATAATGTTATTTTTTATTGTACTACTTTTGTACTACTTCTATATAGGGAAGAAAGACCCTGTCTTTAGACTAATTCTTTGCATGTCAGCCAAGTCCTCTTTTGAGTTTGAGTAACCAAACTCAATCATCATGGGCCTGGATCATATGAAATGAGATCTGGAAAAGCCTTGATATTGGACAATCCATCTTTTCAGGTTTTGTTTTGTTTTTTTTAAATCTCCAGAATTGTGGTGCAGAACCACTTTGTGGTATCTCTGACTACTGATCATTTTATTTCAGTCTCGTATGGTTTGGGATTGATCTTAGTAGAAAGATTTCAGGTCATGAAGCTGAAGTTTGTCTCTTTGTCATTTCCTTCCCTTTCTTGGGTTCTCTGTGTCACTGCTTGATTAAGAAGAACAAAAATAACCGAATACAACGTTCTCCAATTTTAATGCAGAGAACCTCGAAGGTTTTCAATGTAGGATTCCCCTGAACACCATGAATCATACAATTGAATATCATCATTTTAATTCCTTTTCTATATGAAAGGCCTTCAGAAATGTTAAATCAGTGATTAGGTAACTGAAACCCCAGCGTGCTGCAATACGTGCCTTCTGCTGTTCTTCACGTGGCATAGATTTGAGCCCTCTTACCATCCTGATCATCTTTCCTGGGTGTGTTTCAGTTTTTCTATGCCACATAAAGCATTGTATTAGAAATCAAAAATAGCACTAAAGGAGGGGTATAAATAGGACAGAGTACAGCTCAAAGCTGAAAGTGGAGATAACTTCTAACCCTGTTAGCCCACTGGGGCCTCACAGAAGGAAGGATGTATTGTAACAGGGGCTGATAGTCAGCTGGGATACCCAAATAGATGGTTCTCTCGCTGCGTAGTCCAGCATCTGTGAGCGTTCCATTTGACTGGTGAGTGCCTTGATGTCCTGATTTTTAAATACATTAAATATAAACCTTGATTATGTTTTTTTTCCTGATGTGATTCAGTTCTATACTTGAATGTTGCATGCTCACAGAGGCCTTCCCTGACCATCTTAACTAAAGCAACCCTCCGGATCATTCCTGGTCCCTCATCCTGTTTCCATTTTCTTCACACTCATGTCCTGACACTGTATTAACTCGCCTTCTCCTCTTTCCTCCTTCCCCTCCTCCTCCTCCTCCATCCCCCAAATCCCTATCACCCTCCCCTTCTTCCTCCCTTCCCACCTTTCTTTCCTCTCCATCTCTTTTCCTTTCTCCTTCTCTCCCTTTCTCTGTGATTTTAAGCTACCTGAGGGAAGAACCTTGTTTATGTTGTTTGTTATTCAAATATTTATAGCAATGATTGTCACACAGACACGTAGTAGGTACTCAATACGTATATGTTAAGTAGTTACACACATGCCCTTTCACACCTCTCTCTCTCTCTTTTAACCAAACTGGTGAGTTTTCTAATGGAACCTGTTTGGGCCCATGCCAGTAACTGGTTTTATGTCCTGCCTCACTTTGAAGGAAGAGGGAGCCGTGACTGTGTTACTGTTGCTCAGAGATCAGGGCAGTTCCAGAAGCTAGTGAGTGCTGGTGCCTCCCCTACAGGCCTGGCCACAGTGCTTTTGTGAATGACCTTTACTGTAATGCATCCAGGGAGCCCCTCACCCCGAAAGCTTTTGGGAAGTGAGCTTTCTATCCAGGAATTGTGACTCATAATTCTGCCAGGGGAAGCGAACTTCTTGAATAAGATGAGTTCTCATACCAGCCCCATTGCGTCACCGTCACCGTGGGAGCAGGAAACATGTTGTAATCCCCGAGGCCCATCTGGCACGTGCTCATCGGCCTTCCTTATGAAGAGGTGTATTGTGTCTGTCACTGATGCACTTCCTAGTTGAACAAAAAGGAAATATTGTTGACAAAAATGAAAAGAGCAACTGGCTCTGGGATACTAGGGGAAAAAAGGGATCATTGCCCTTCTGAGGGATCAACCAGTCTCTGTGCATGAAGGAAGGTGTCTCCTTTCACGATGATGTAACCGCCAGCGGGTCTGTTGGCTTTCCTGAGGCTCTTCCCGAGCTTCAGGTTCCTGTCTTCCTGGAAACCCAGGTTGGAGTGAGGAACAAATGGGAGATCCCCTGGAAACACTAACGCACGTTGCATGCGTATGATATTAGTAAAAAGTTTATTTTGTTCTTCTGGGCCCTTCCCTGTAGTCCCATGTAGAGCCTTCTTTCCAGAGAAGCCTAAAATTTTAAAGAATAAGGATCATAACCACATAGGAGTTTAGTGTCATAGTTTAGTGATCATAACCACATAGGAGTTTAGTGTCATAGTTTAGTGATCATAACCACATAGGAGTTTAGTGTCATGCTGAGTTTCAAATGCTATAAACTGGCCTCCAAAGCAGAAAATTCTGACTTCAGATTGGGGTCTTTCTGATGGCCATACTGCAATTTCCTTATCCCCTCTCAAATGGGAAAGTGACATCTTCATTTCAAGTGGTGATAAAAGCAAATAAAACACATTTATTTCCTTTGGAGACATTAAAGCTTAGATAACTGTAGCAGTTATACTGTAATAAAGCTCCTTTGTCTAAAAGGCAGTTTCCATTTTGCATATTCAATGTCATTTGATTCTCACACCCAAACCATGGGGCAGTCATGACTGTTGTAACTCTCTTTTTTGGGAAAGAAAACTTAGAATCAAAGTGGTTAAAAGAATTAGCCAAAGTCACAGAGCGGCACTGAGCCTAACTGTAACTTCAATTAGTCCCTCGCTCCCTAAGATCCACATTATTTTTACTAAGTATGCTCCCCTTGGGCTCTCCTAGAATATAAAAAATTTAGAAAGAAGATTAAAATCCAAGAGATCACAGCTAATCATCTTGGTAACTGTTGAAGACTACTCAGTGATGGGTTTCTGTACTTTCTAATTTATTTACACCCCCAGACCCTCCTTAAGACACTTCCTTCAAAAAGAAAATTAGTGCAATCCTAAATTCAAACTCAGTATATTCTCCTTTCTGCTTGTTACAGTATTTAAATTTTTCATTATTAAACTCCAAGTGTTTTCTGCTTATAAGAATTCAAAAAAAAAGTCAGCTCATTGCACATTTCTCTTTCCGTGTTTTATTTGCAGAATGTTAGGAACTCAAACTGTTAAACTGTTACAGCTGCCTTCAGAGCAGAAATAAATATCTGGAACCCGCAACTCCAAGTTGAGGAGATAGTGGAAATGGCATCCTATGCAATAGGGTGAATTTAAAAAATATTCTCACATCAATATTATTTGCTGCACAGATCACAGTACAAAAAAAAGATAGGCAATGCATTGTGTCCCCAAATGTGTGCAAACACACAGATCTTTGAATATAGCTTTCTATTCCAAAGTCAACAAACAGTTGATTATGTGACAGTTGGCAGGGCTAGATTTTACACACATTGTCATTTACTTTGCAGAAAACATTGTGTGCCAGGAGGGGTGGAGATTCTTACACTCACTTCAGAGTTTAAGAAATGAAGAGCCAGAAGGTAGCCCAGGTGTGTGGCACTCACCTGGCAGAGCTGAGCCACCTGGACTCCAAAAGCAGCCTTTTTTTTTTTTTTTTTTAATACCACAATGTCTTCTTTTAAGACTTTGTTCTGCTCATGCAGTGATTTTCAACCAGTGGGCTGCAGCACACTGGTGTGCCATGAGAGGTCTTTGGTGTGCCATGGATGTTAAAGATCATGAATTAAATTATTCTCAAAAGACGTTCAAAGCACAGTAAGCATATTCTTTTTTTGACTCTCTCTCTCTCTTTTTTTTTTTTTTTTTTTGTGAACATAATTTAAGTTTGCCATGGAAGTTTAACTACAGGCTCAAGTCCATGAGATAAAAAAGGCTGAAAAAAAAACCCCACTGTGTTAATAGAAGTAAGAGCCCCTGTTTCCTTTACATTTTCACAAAATTTTCCAAACTTAGAGCTAGTCTATTGACCTACTGGGGGAGAACTGCATAATAGACATTAAATAAATAAGTAAAATTTATGGTTGACCGTCACTGAGACACATGTAAGTTTTGACTTTTACTCTGTGAGTTGTCTGATGACAGGAAAGAGGTCATTTCATCACTCTTTGTTACTGTGCCTTTCCTGTCCACCAAATCACCCAACCAACCAACAGCCGCAGAACCAACTGACTTGGCTTTTTTGCTTCTTATTAAGGAACATGATGCCTCATGGACGCACC